GCGGTGGTTGGCGCTCGGGCCTCTGCCACAGCCGACACCCCGTGAACCGTCAGGACCTTCACTCCTTTCCTCAGCCGGAGGAACACAGGCCCCCAGCTGGGGATGCTAAGTGCCTGTCTTGTTAGGTAGCCGAGGTGACAAGCGGTGTCCTGAGGCCAGAGCAGGAGTATCAGGGAAGTAGAGCTCCAGGGATGTCAGGCAGGGCAGACGGAAGGAGGGGGAGCCCCGTGGGCAGGAGCCCTGCAAGAGCAGAGGATTTTCTGCAGGACGGTTGTGGGGCACACGGTCACCGGGAGCAGAGTGCAGGGAAGCCTGGGATGCCACATGAAGAAGTTCTCTGGTTCCTGATGAGGAGCAACTTTTTGTTCACCTGAAAGAATTATTCTAAGACTGAGGAGGGGAAGTTCACGTAAATGGTAACGGCTAGAGCGTGCGACTGCGCACGTGGATGACCACCAAGTCCACGCACTGTGGCCGGCCCGATGGCTCTGATGTCCACAGGCGCGACTCCTGGCGTGTCTGTGACCTCACAGCGCCGGGCACAGCGGGCTCAGGGGGCACGGCCTCCTCATCTTTCTTACACAGCGGTGGCAGTGGCACACGAGAACCCGTCAGCACGATGAAGACGGTGGCCGTAAACACCCACGATCCCTGTCGGACACTTGGGGGCGGACATTTGGGTTGTTGCCGGTTTGCAGCCATGACAAATAAAGCTGCCATGAGCCTGCCTCCGTGCACAGGTTTTTGTGTAGACGTGTGTTCGTTTATCCCCCTGGGCATATAGCGAGGAGTGGAAGTGCTGGGCCCCATGGGAAGCCTCTGGCAGCGCCAGCCGAAGTCTTAGCCCCCTAACCGCGGTGCCCGGGGGCTCCAGCTTCTCCACCTGCCCCCTGACACTTGTCCATCCTGTTGATTCTAGCCATCCTGGGCGGTATGAAATGGTATCATATGGTGGTTCTGTTTGCATTTCCCTCGTGACTAATGACGTTGAGCATCTTTCCATGTCCTTCTGAGCCACTCATAGATCTTCTTTGGTGAAGTGTCTGTTCAAATCTTTTGCCCATTTGTAATTGATTCGTTTGTCTTTTCATGTGGTTGTAAAGTTCTAGATACAAGTCCTTTGTCACACATGTTTTGCAAATATTTCCCTCCAGACTGACGTTTGCCTTTCTATTTTCATAACAGTGTTTTCTGAAGAACAGACGTTGTTTTATTTTGAAGAAGCCCAGTGAATGGATTTTTTAATTTCATGGTTTGTACTTTTTGTACCACAGTTAAGAAGTCTTGGCAAAACTCAAGTCACTACAATTTGACCCTCTGTTTTCTTGTGGAAGTTGCAGAGCTTTCGCTCTTAGATTTAGGTCTATGATCTATTTGGAGTTAATATTTGCGTGTGGTGTGAGGTGAATTCACGATTTATTTTTCTTCTATATGGGTATCCAGTTTCTCCAGCTCCATCTGTTGAAAAGATGATCTTTTCCGCAGTTGAACTGCCTTGACGTCTTGGTTGAAAACCAACTGGCTGTGCGCAAGTCTTTATGCCGGTCTATTTTATGCCCGCGTGACACTCTTCTTGGTTACTGTGGCTTTATAATAAGTCTTGGAATCGGGTAATGTGAATCCTCTGATGTGCTTCTTTTTCAAACCTCTTTGGTCTATCCTAATTTTGTCTCATTACTGTGTGAGTTTTAGAATACCTTGTCAATTTATATGAAAAAATAAAAAAGCCTGCTGGGACTTTGACTGGGATTTCATTGAATCTATACATCAGTTTGAGGAGGACTGACATCTGAACAATATCGAGCCCTTCAGTTTGTGGACATAACATAGCTCCTCACTCGCGGGCCTCCCCTAATTCCTCCCAGCAACGGCTTGTGATTTCAGTGTCCAAGTCTTGCACATGTGTTAGCATTGATTGATTCCGAGGTTATTGTTCAATCATCCCTAGTGAGTCTGCATTCTTGTGCAGTCACCCATTCGTCCCCCAGACATACACTGAACATGTAACTGTGTGCTGGGCTGGGAGGGTGACTAAGACATATGTCTTGCCGACCTTCAGAATCAGGAGCATGCGTTTGTTCCTATGATGCCTTTGTTTAGCCCAGCCCATATTTGATAACGGCCTTGACCATAATGTAAAACAGAGCTGTGTGTCCCATCTTCACGGTTCTGAGAACTTATCATTGTTCCAAGATTTTTTTTTTAACTTTCTGGCAAAGACTTCTAACAGGAAAACAAAATCAAATCAAAACAAGGAGGTAAGAATCAAATTAATCTTTTGTCTCTTTCTCAGTGAAAATATTCCTCGCTTAATATATAACATGCTTTCTTCCATGTTCTGGCTAGTTCAGTGGGAACAAGGTACTTGGTGAAAGGAGGTGGAGAGAGAATGAGTCAGGCAGGCCGAGAAGAGGTGGGGAGAGTAGAACACACCCTGGTGATCTCCTCAGACTAGAAAAACAAATGCATACAGTGTATCAGGGACGTGGCCTCAAGCACAGGTGACCTGTGAGGTGCACAGCTCCACCGATATGCAGATTTTTTTGTGTGTTAAATACAGGATGATACTGTAAATGTATTTTCCTTATGATTTTCTTTTTTTTTTTTAAAGATTTTGTTTATTTATTGGAGAGAGTGAGAATGGACAGAGAGCACATGAGAGGAGGAAGGGTCAGAGGGAGAAGCAGACTCCCTGCCGAGCAGGGAGCCCGATGCGGGACTCGATCCCGGGACTCCTGGATCATGACCTGAGCCGAAGGCAGCCGCTTAACCAACTGAGCCACCCAGGCGCCCTCCTTATGATTTTCTTAATAACATTCTCTTTTCTCTAGTTGACTTGATTGTAAGAATGCAGTACATAATACATACAACCTCCAAAATGTGTGTTACTCGACTGTTTGTTATTGGTGAGACTTCCAGTTAACAGGCAGCTATTAGTCATTAAGGTTTGGGAGATTCAAAGTTACACGTGGATTTTTCAGCTCTGCCGGGGGTCAGCATCCCTAACTCCCATGTTGTTCAAGGTAAGGAATCTGGGGGCAGCTTGCTGGCATCGGTTCAGCAGCAGAGCACTGGCAAGGCCCAGTATCAAATTAGCTTGGCTTTGCCTCATGATCACAAAATGGCTGCTGAAGCACCTGCTGTCACATATGCAAAGGACAGAAGGGGGAAAGGGCAAGGACAGCTGCATCTGTCTCCTTTTATCAAGAAAGCAACAGTTTTTCCAGAAACTTGCCCAGCAGACTTCCACTTAGGTCTCAGAACTGGATCACATGACCACCCTTAGCTGGAAGAGAGGCTGGGGAAAGCTGGAGACAGGATTGTCATGACCTGTCACCTGAGGCTGAGCCCACTGATGCCCTGAACAAAACTGGGGTCTTATCCCCAGAGGAGAGGGCTGGAATGGATACTGGGTGATGTTATGGATTGAATTATGTCCCCCCAAAAGATATGTTGAAGTCCTAGCCCCCAGTGACGTCAGAATGTGACCCTATTTACAAATAGGGTCTTTGCAGATATAACTAGTTATGATGAGGTCATACTAGACCCTACCAGCAGCTGGAAGAGGTGCAGAAGGATCATCCCCTAGAGCCCACAGGGGGAGTACGGTCCTGCTGACCCCTTCCTTTCTACCCATGGTGAGAGGGAAGGAAGCCGGCCGTGTCTGAGCCTCCTCCCCACATGCTGGCACTCTGCATGCTCACTGCTAAGAGGCATACAGACTCGCACCCGAGTCCCACGGCTTTTTCCCCTGCAGCCAACCCTGTTCTCCAAACTAGCGGGCACCCGGCTGGCCTTGTCGTTTTCCCAACTTTTCCCCTTTGGGGCTGATTCTTTGCAGTTCCATCCCTCACTAACAACTGGTCGTACTGGATGCCGGGCACCTCCGTTTCCTTCCTGTGAAACTGAGGTTATTGCACATATGCAGGTTGTGATAAAGGTGAAGACAGCCTTCCTACTTTCAGTCACCAAATCTACACTGGGGCCACAGTGAGCAAGACAAAAACCCCTGCCCTTGAGGAGCCGGCCTTCATTCTAGTGACTGGACTGCTATGTGCGGAGGGGCGGGTGCTGGGATACAGCAGGGAGCAGGGGAGAGAGAGAGAGAGAGAGAGCGAGAGCTAGTGCAAATGGTGGCTCAGAAGAGTGGACATTTAAGCAGAGATGTGGTTGAGGTGGATGTCTGAAAAAGAGCAGTCCAGGAGGAGGGCACAGGCAGTGCAAAGGTCCGGAGGCGGTGTGTTGGCCTCCTTGGGGCTGCCGTAACAAGTACCACAAACCAGGTGGCTTAAAACAACAGAGACTGAGTCTCTCACAGCTCTGAGTCCAGAAGTCCAAAATCAAGGTGCCAGCAGGGCCACACTCCCTGCAGCGGCTCGAGGGACGAACCCTTCCTCACCTCTTCCAGCTGCTGGTGGTCCCACACATTCCCTGGCTTGTGGCCACATCCTTGCCATCCTTGCCTCCGATGTCACCTTCTCTGTGTCTGGGTCTCTCCTCTTCTGTCTCTTATAAGGACACTTGTCATTGGATTTAGGACCTACCCAGGTAATCCTGGATGATCTCATCTCGAGATTCACAAGGACCCAATAAGGTCATATTCACAGGGTCCAGGGATTAGAATGTGGGCAGATCTTTTGGATGGCCCCCAGTCAGCCCACCACAGACAGGAACATGCTTGCTGTGTTTGAAGCCGTGTGGCTGTGAAGCCCATGCTGGGTCCCTTCTCGCTGCCCCCTGGGGCCCAGGGCAGAATGGGCACATGTGAGGGAAAGGTCCAGGACTCCTTGCTTTCTCCTCTTTCTCCACAAGCAGGATTTCCAGATTCTCAACCTGACACGCCCTGGCGAGCAGGTAAACTGCTCCATATACCCAAGTCGCTGGGGTCACAGAGCAGAGACATTGCTAGCCGTCAACAGGAGAAATGGCCAGAAAGTCTGTGCCCAGCCTTCTGTCGGTCAGCGTGCCTCCTCCTACCGCTGTCCTGCCTGGCATCACCATCACCCCGTCATCCTGTGTGGCGGACCCTGCCCGTGGGTCAGGCCCAGGGCAGCTAAACAAGCGCTTCCCAAGACTCCCAGTTTTGCCAGGTAGTGGAAGTGACAGGAGGTGCAGAGATAGTAGGGGAGCTTGCTGGGGAAGGGACAATCCACCTCGGGCATTCGCGAGGCCATGCGCCGAGTGTGCAGGGCCGCTGACCACTTCATCCAGCAGGCAGCGGTCAGAGTGAGAGTCTAGGCAGTTCTGAGGACACCGGAGCGTGCTTCCGGCCTGCAGTGTGCAGGTGAGCGGCAGCCAGGGTGCCCAGCCCGCTCGGCACGGGAGAATCGGCCTGCAACTCAAATGTGGCAGAATTTCCCCTGATGGAAGGAGACCCTGCTCCTGGCCCTCCCTTAGAGCACTTGCTTGAGAAACCTAAATAAGCCTCCTACCAACCTTAGAGCCCAGGAAGGTTCTTCTTAAGTGTCCCAGAGGCACCTCTTTGAAATGCACCCGTTGAGGAAGGCAGGCCCCTTAGCTCCCACTCTCGGCTCTGGCCACCTGCCTGCCACAGACACAAAGCTTTCGTTGTCCTTCAGATACAGGCAACTCACTAGCACAGATGGCCACCCCGATTACCAGGTGAAGCTCCCATGAACCAGGATGGGAGATCTTGAGAAGTACCTGCATGGCATGGTGGGCAGTCCATTTCATACTTCGTAGTAAAATTGTTTGCTTTCTTTTCCACACTTGTGAAGAGAACTGGGGGTGGGGGGGGGCAGGACCTTTATAGTTTCTCCCAGTACAGGCAGGGTCCAGGGGGAGGGGGCCGAAGTGGGAGGACGTAGATCTGGCACAGGAACGAATCTGGGCCCAGGGAAGCATCTGGCTCTACCCGCCCCCCCAACGCCCGCCCGGCCTCTCTGGGACTATAGACACTGTTGCACTTCACGCCACTTAAGGGACCCCAAGAGCCGGGGCTGGGTCCTGAGGGTGGCTAACAACAAAGAGATGGAAATTGAGAAGCTTTGTATACATATATCCAAACTCACCAGCATGTTCACTAATCACATGCAAAGTTTTGTACACTAATTATATGCCAATAAAGCTGGAAAGAAAAATAAAATTTAATTTTAAATTAAATTAAAAGAGAGATGCCTGGGATGCCAGCCAAAAGACAAGAAACAAAGAGCAGGGTCAGAAAGGAAACAAGTTTAACAACGGATTAAAGAAAACCTCCTTGAGAAGGCAAAGGCCCCTCGGCTGCACCTCACGTACATCACGGGCACCTGCCAAGCTCCAAACCAGATTGTCACAGAGCTGGGCGTTGCCTGGTGAACTTTCCTGAACTCACAGGATAACGGGAACATCTTAGAGGCTTCCAAACAAAAGGAAATCAGCCACAGCAGAAGTGGACCCAAGTGGGCCGGCTCCCCAGGCAACTCTGGAAGCCAGAAGCTGGAGAAGCAACTGCGCCCCAGTGGCTAAGCGTGGGGGGTGGAACCCTCACGGGACACTGTGGTCTCAGGATCCTGGGGGTCACAGAGAGACCGGGGGTGCCTGAGTGCGGCAGAGCTCCCAGGGATCGGAGCGGGGAAGCCGGCTGCAGAGACGGAGCCGAGGCGCGGGCTCTCAGCTCGGGGTGGCCATAAACTGTGATCCGCGGCCCAGTCGGGCCACTGCTCCTCCAGCAGGGACCCAACAAGCAGCAGAGCCGGGGAGACTCCCCTTCCTCCCCCAGGAGGAGCGGCGCGGGAGCGCACCGCAGGGATCTGCTGGGTTTGGAGACTCCACACGGGGTCGGGTGCCAGAGATAGAAACACTCGGTCACAGGCCGGGTGAGCACGGAGTGCGGCCGGAGACCGGGGAGACAGGAGTGACTGACTGCTTTTCTCTGGGGGCGCACTGAGGAGCGGGGCCCCGAGTTCTCGGCTCCTCCGGGGGGAGATTGGGAGGCCGCCACTTCACTCTCGTCCTCCAAAGCCAGTGTGTGCCGAGCTTTCTTTTTGATGCTGACAGGGGAGGGTGGGTA